CAGAGTCCATATCCAGGTGTGCCAGGTTGCTCTGATGTACTTGAGAAACAGCACACCAGCCCCACATAGGAGCCCTTCCCTTCCTATTGAAGCCAGCCCTCCTTACCTGGGTTTGTGTGCACTAGGATATGTTCAAAACCAAAAACATGCCATACATTGGAGCACCACTGCTAACAACTATGAGCTGGGCTTCTCCCCCTCCAAAGGCACAATTGCATGCCAAACCTGCCCGTGACCCCTGCTCATTCCTCACCTTCCTGACTGAAGCTCTGTGAACGATGCACAATGCCACCGATGAAGAAGGCAGTGCCAAGCACCAGCAACAAGTTGGACAGCACAGACCCCAGCAGCGACAGCTGCACCACCCGCAAGAAAGTGGGGTTGTCCTTTGCCTGTGCTAGCGCAAAGCCTAAACACACAAACACAGGAGCCCACTGGTGAGACATGGACCATAACAGGCTGTCTGTAGCTGCTGCCTGTGGGCACTGTGCGCTTGACTGTAGGAGCTGCACAAAGCAAGGTCAAGCGCGAATGCTGTGAGCAAATCACAGGGAGCTGTCCTGCATCACCCTGTGGGTCCAATGTGTTCTGTCAAATGTTGGCATTCACACTGATGAGCTACCCAGGGAGGGTGAAGAGTATGAGATGGCTATGCCCAATGTCAAAGGCACACCACCATTCCCAAGGCATCGTTTGGTTGGACAACAGCTTTGGAAGTCTCGTTCTACTGGACCTCACTACCGCTTGCCAGTTCAATTGTGGCCCTTGAGGGTGTGCAAGCAAGAACGCTTCTTATGCCAGCGCCTCAATAACACACCATCGTCGCCCCTTTTGGAGATGTCAGGAGTGCGGACATCTGTTTTCCAACTCATTGTTCAGCTTTCTGGCAGCTGGCTGCCTGTGCTGGATCATGCGAAACTGGCAGTGCTGTCTATTACCATCAGGAAGGGAACAATTGGCATTTGCCCCAGCTGCCCCTGTCAAAGGGCTTGAAACTGCAGAACTTCACAGCCTAACTCGCTTCACCCAGCAAACCTTCCCTAAAAGGTTAGGTTCAAAGGTAAAGGTAATAGGTTGAAAGGTTCCCAAAAAGGCACCCAAATACCATGCCATCTCAGCATCTGAACTCCAGATAATCCTGTGTTTCAAGGTTCATGTATAATCAATGCTTGCCTGTTTCCCAAAGGAAAATGATCCCAACAATCGAGAAAATATGTTGCACATTGCGCACACATTGCGCATTGCGCACTGCCATCGATGTGCAGGGGCGGTGCCCTGCCTTTGGATTAATGTCGGCAAATGCCAGGCGAACACAGAGCTAGGATTCTCGTATGGCCTCAAGCACCCATAACGAATTTGAAATGTGGGGAGGCTGCAGCAACCCAATGGCGTGCAAGAACGTCTCAACACGACTGCAGTATCTGGACTGCTTCTGTTGACTACATCTGTCAAACAGACAAATGGAGTCCACTGGAACCAGAAAGTTGATGGAAAACACAGCAGCACCTAATTGATGTTTGTGCAGTCCCTGCACAACTGTTGAAACCCACACGCCAGCCGATTGCACAAGGGGGCACCCGGCAGCAATCCACTGGCAGTGTTTTGGGCTGTTCATTTGAGTACTGAGGCACTGAATGTTAAAAAGATGCTGTGCTACTGTGTCCAGAACGTCCACCCCTCCCAGGTGCAATCTGAACAAGGCATCTGCGCACCGGATATGATGACCTCGGTGGCATTGCCAAAGGTTGCATTGAGCAAGCCTCCGATGGTGTCATTCGTGTATGCTGCCAGCTCTTCAGTGATGAATCCCAGGCGCTGCGGAACACCGGTGGTAAGCCGAGAAATGAACCAGGAAAAACAATCACTTTGGATGGGTACATCCTTTACCTATGGCGCTGAAGTGTGAGAAAACCCAGCCCTTGCACCTGCAAGGCTGATCGTTTTTTGCAATATAGTAAGGGGATTGAAATGCACACCACAACCGGCACCGTGGCTCCTGCACACACACCCTAAAACCATAGGAATGGTCCTGAAGTGAGAATTCTCTTCTCTCGTTTCTCCGAATTTTCATTTTCGGCTGCATTTGTGAAAATATGGCAAATGCTGCCCTTCGAGTTGCTGACAAAAGCAGAGACAGCAGCCAAGCGCTGACACCACTTGACGCACAGACAACATAAATTTGCAACACACGTCCTCAAACAAACCACAAACGCCTGGAAAAGTCCAAAAGTGTCCATCAGTGGTGCTGGGTCTAACTGACACATGCAATTGACAAAATTGAGTTGACATACATACTGATGTTATGTTGCTCTTTGAGCATAGTCTTGGAGTAGATCTGTGCTCTCCCTAATTTCCAAAACAACGTCACGGTGTTTCTGGCAGATGTGTTCCTGAGATCACTGTCCATTGGTCTATGAGTCAATCGGCACAGTCTGGTTGTGATTGTTGCCCCCGGCCACAAGGCCCAACACTGCCATCAGGATGTAAGGGTGCCACCCTCAGCAGCAGTGTGCCTACAAGGACTTCAGACATGCCACAGGCCACACCCTTGGCGGCTTTAGGCGATCCTTGTGTTCACCTTTGCCACAAACAAGACAAAGCAAACCCTTTCACCAATCTGGCAGTGTTGGCTGTGATGATCTTGGATGTGGAATGCGTGCCTTCTACCGAGAAACTAACTTCTCTCTGAAATTTCCCAACTGTTCAATCAATTTTCCATTCCTAAATGAAACATCACACTTCAGCACAGTTTTGAAAACAAGCCAGTGGGCTGCTAGCAACGCTGTAGGAGAATGGCACCGGCGCTCACCTCAGCAAGGGGACACAGTGCAAGCAGACTGACAACAAAGACGACTGCATCGTATGTCGCTCCATTGCCACCAGAGTAGACCTCCACGATCTTGAGAGCAATGGCAATGGGCAAGAAAATCAACAGGATGTTGAGCTTTGAGCCTAACAGAACCTGGTCAAGGCACACCACACAACAGCCTGACATCACTCCATCGATTGTCTTTGTCTAAGCCTTGGATGTTTCAACAGTGTGAATGATTCAAAAATTACATAACATACAACAGAGGCAAAAAAATCCACTTTGCACAATGCTCTGATAGTCTTCGATCAACCACCACCCTTGTACCATCCAGATGGCGACTTCTGAACACCTGCAAAGAGCATTGGGAAGGCAAGCTGGACCTTACAAGCACTACTGCTATGTTGACAAGCTATGTTGACAAGGATGGCTTCCACCCAAGCCACCTGGCCAGCGAAAGGAAATCAGATCCATATACCACCACTCTATTCCCACCTAATGCAGATGTGATGGCAACAAGGGGCACATGGCTGCTCACAAGATGGCCAGAACACGATCTCCAAAAACACCAAACGCCAAGCACAAGCAATGGTGCTCAGCAGCAGCAAAACAACGGGGATTGCCCGTACTTGCAAATAACATCACATGTGAGTCCAGGTGCCAACCCTGTCCTGTCAAAAAGGACGTACTTGGGGTTGACCAAAGGGGGGTGGCAACACCAGACTGTGAATGCGATATCCAATGGTGCAGTGAACAAAGTTGAATGCAGGGCATGCGCTGGATGGCTTCGTTACAAGCACACGTTCTGTAAGAGGGAAACTGGCAGTAGCCTATGGCAATGAGAAGCACCTCATGGATCGAAGAAGGGACATAACGATTGGGGGATCGCAAACTCTTAGGGTGTCCAGGCGTCTCATAACAGAAAGCGCAGGACACGGCTGTGCAAGATCAGTGAATATATTCCACAGGCAGCCACAACCACGCTGCCCTGAAGAAACACATGGACTTGCAGCAAGCCCACTGCCAATTGCAATGCACACTGGGTTTCCTGGGAGGTCCACTTCTTATTACTAAAAATAGCACACAGCATTCAAGACTTGGGGTGAGAATAAGCGCAATGACTTTCACCTAATCGGACTCTGCACCAATGCACAGAGCAATCCAGGCTTGGACGACTTGCATCGAAACCCACTAATGGCCTGGAAATACATTCTCCAGAGAGGCGACTCACAACGCCTCAAGCAGCATCAAAGCCCCAACTCTGTCTTCCACTACATTCAATTGTAGCCACGTTGGTTGGCCCATTTCGCACAGCAATTATGCAATCATTTTGGCTAACGAACACTGGCCATTTCAGAGGTCAACAGCGACTACTGTTGTGCTGGCCCCACCATGTGCAGCATGGAGATGCGCCAGCAACAGATTGTCAGCACATTCTAGTTGCACAATTCTTCACTGCCAACAACTCCCCAGATGCACCCTGTGGTCATTTATCCCACACCAATGTGCAATCCCATCCTCTTCTTTCCTAAGGTTTGCCAACCATTGTGAGGTCACTGTGGACTGCTAGCAGAAGGATGCAGCTTGACTATCTGAGTTCAGCAGAGACATGTGACATGACCAATGTGTCGATTTTTCACGTTGCCCGTAAGGATATTCACTCACTGTCCTTTTCTAAGCCCCCGTGGCCAAGAATGCCAGACTCACCGTCGATATGCTCTGAGAAACGCTCTGCACCACAAAATCGAGCGCACACAAGGTAAGATTTGTCACAAAGAGAAAGAGAGCAGGCCATGCAAAGCACGCAAGGAGCTCTCAGCAATGTGCTGGTCATGGGAAAGAAACAGGGAATCTTCACAAACCTTGTCAAGGTGAAAAGCATGGTAAGGAAGCAAAGCGAAAGGAAAAGAAACTAAAAGAGAAAAGAGAAAGGAAACAAAGAAACAGGCAGGAAACTGGTGTCACAAGAACCCCCACAGTGCGCCAGACAATGGGGCGGGGCCGTAGCCCGTTGCATCACGTGTTGCTGCTCTGTGAGAACGAGCGTTTCTCCTTTGTGAGAATGGCGGTCCTGGACGCGGCCACGATACATTCTGACCGGTCACGTATCGCGGTTATGGCACGGATGGTGCCATGCGCATCTTCGTCATAACGCCACGTGCAGGAAATTTCCTTCCTTTGTGAGTCCAGTGGTCCCGAAACGGCGGACGACTTTGGCAAATTCTGGCAGACCACCAGCCAAGAAATCGGAACAACGGCTCCCTTACACCCACCATTTCGCGGGAGCTGCTCTCGCTGGCGTTCGCGATGTCGCTCGGCATGGTTGACCCGCCAGCCGCTCAGCTCCGATGCCGTCCACTCTCCGGAAGCGCCTGCGCGGTGGAAAGAAAAGAAAGATGAAGACGGCGCGCGGGAGGGGGGGGGAGCTATCGTCAGCTTGAAAATCAACGCCGGAGTGTTCGTTGCGGTTGGGCACTCTATCTGGGTCAGACTTTGTCAGCCGCTGGCCTTGCGCTGCGTATTCGAGCGTTCCGTCCTCCAATTTAGGTGGAACTGGGCGTTCTCTCAGTTGCGCCTGTTTCGCAAGCCATAATTCCTTTCGCGCGCCACTCTTCACACTCCTTGGGTTGGGTCGGGAACCTCGCGCACCCGTCTCCGCATTTCGGGAGAAAAATTGCGCGACGTAGCGGCTTTTTCATCGACACCGAGACAGCGCCACGGCCAAAACAACCAAAGCAAAACAAAACGAAACAGGACAGAACAACGTGAGGGAGCATGCGAAGTGGATTACCCCACGAAACGCCGCATCTCTGGTGGCCGCCCCCTCACGGTACCGCACACAAAACCACCACAACCATCAGAAGCGTCGACACGACTCTTTCCACCACTCCAAAACGCCGACCCTCCACACACACCGCCACCGCAGTCACCGATGCCTCCACATGGCGCCATTCCACCCAAAAACATAAAAATCGAGAGCCAGAACACACAAGAAAAAGAATCAAAGCGCCTCCCCCATCCTCCCCAAGGCCCCCAACGAGTGTCGCGCCTTTTTCCCCCCTTCGATCCGTCCAGCGCCAAGCCCCCGGGCGCCGTGCGGCTCCATCCCACCCATGATCCCAATCCCACCATCCCCGATCTCAAACCTCCCTCGCTCGGCGCACGCGAATAAACAAACGCCACCTGCGGGCGCGATGCCCGCCACACTGGAGGGGACCACGGACAGGTATCGCGCTCACCCGGCCTCGCTCACGACCTCGCCGTTTGCCCGTTTCCGCACCTTGGCTGAGATCCTGTGGAGGCGCAGCTGGCTGCAGGGCAGGGGAGCCTGGGCAAGTGTGCGGATGAGGCGGAGAACAAGTCACGCAGGTTCCCCGAGGCACCGCCGACACGAGATGCCGTTGCCGCCTCACTCGTTTCGGCACAGCGCGTGCGGCGGGGTTGCAGCCAGGGTAGTTTGTGTCGGACCCTTGGTCAATGTACGGCGTCGCGTTGGGCTCGGCGGCGCCTTTTTCGTGGTGGGGAGTGGACGTGGGTGACAGCACATGGTGAGACTCGCCGTTAGTCAATCAGCTGGTCGCTGTTTTGGCGCGGACGGCAAAGAGGATGTCTGACCGGGGATCGAAGCGGGTACTTCTGGTGGGATGTCCAATTGCTCTCCACTCCTGTGCCACTGCCCTGCCACTCCTCTACCCTCCAGTACGCACTTGAGTACTGACTTCCGGGGTATACCCATCCACCTAACGTACAGCCAGGGTGCCCGTGTCGGTCCCCTGGGACCAACGTACGGCGCAGGGTTTCGCTTCAGCGCAGCGTTTCTCGAGGTGGGAGGTGGACGTTGGGGAAAGCACATCGTCAGATTGCCGAGGATTACGCTCATGTGGGGGGCCTGCATTCTGCAATCATCCATGTGCAGCCATCAATTTTTGAAGGGGCCTTTTCAGCACATATTTATGAAGTCACCATGTCGATGTGGGCATGATTAGTGTTCGTGCAACCGGAGGTGACGTCATGCGGGGTGACATGATGCATGTCAATCCAACAATCGGTAAATCCCATTAAAGCGCGTATTACATAGTTTACATAGGAATGCGAGGCGGCAGCCGTCTGTTCCCCATTTCTCCCTACGAAAAGAGTTTTCATCAATCGACCAACGAACCAATCAAATAATCAAATAATCAAATAATAAATCAAATGAAATCAATCAATCAGTCAATCAGTCAATCAGTCAATCAGTCAATCAGTCAATCAGTCAGTCAATCAATCAATCAATCAATCAATCAGTCAATCAATCAGTCAATCAGTCAATCGATCAATCAGTCAATCAATCAATCGATCAATCAGTCAATCAATCAATCAACCAATCAGTCAGTCAACCAATCAATCAATCAACCAATCAGTCAGTCAACCAATCAATCAATCAACAATCAATCAAATCAATAAATCAATCAGTCAATCAATCAATCAATGTCATGCCATTGATACGATGTGCCCCGTCGCCGTCCCTGCAGCTGCTGTTTTCGTACTCGTCCGCTCCCACACCCCGTGCTGTGGGTTTCCCGGCAGCGCGCCATAGATTGCCCCCCACCTGGGCCTGCGGCCCTCGTGCCCCGCAGCCATATTCGAACAGTCATATTCGAAGACCTTTCCCAGAGGGCGCGCGGCATGTACTGCAGTAAAATTGTGTCCTGCAGTGCAAGGGCATGGTTTGCATATTATATACACATATTGACACATATTAACACAATATTAAAATTAACACAACATTACACATATACCATATTACATAATGTCCATTGATTGAAAACCAATTTGCCGAACTCGCGCACTGGATGTCTGTGCTAGAATCGTGAGCGGAGTTGTGGCATATCCAGATGAGAATTAACATTACGTCATAAGAGTTTCGAAAAAATCCCCTGCTGATCGAATCGAAGATTTGTGTCACCTGCGGCTCACGCGCCCAGATTAACATCAGATGGCCCTTTGCGGCTTTGGATGATCCGGTCGCTGCTGCCAGCAACATATTCAAGCGTGCACAACACATATTCAAACTCGCCAAGGCTGTGACCACTAACACAGAGCAGTGTGAGGCAGTATAGAGCCGAGTGGAACAGCTGCTGGGTGTTTCGCAGCAAATGCGCCAGCATCCCCACCTGCAGCTGGAAACACTAGTCCACAACGTCGAG